AAAATGATTAAATAAGGAGAAAAAACAAGAGCACTGTTGGAATAACAATTCTCAATGTTGTGCCTCTAAAGGAAAACGTTACCACAGTACATACTAGTTGCTATCAGAAGTGTGGACGTTCGCAAAGTAAATGGAAGCGAAGCAAGGGGAGGGAAATGCATGCTGGCACTTCAGCTGGGAGATAAAATGGGCAACACGTGGATAGAGAACAAATGCAGGCTCGAGACATCAAATTGACTGTAAAGCGAGTGGGCTTATGCGAGAAAAATGGTGAGTGATCGAAACTAACGATGCAGTGGCATATAAAGAGGAGGGAACGAACGCCAGGATACATCCACCGTGGAAAAGGGGTGCTGAAATCTGGTCATATGCAGGAGCCCTGAATGGGCTGTTTCATCACAAGACTGAGCTATGGCGACAGGTTGAAGAGGCCTTATCCAGCAGTGAATATATCATGGCTACTAATGAGATCGAGCATTCACTTTGATTTAATATTGCTCACAAGTGCATGAAAACAGAGGGTGAGCAAAACAAGGACAAGGTTTAAGTAAACATACGCCTACACAGTCTTGCTCACTGCTACACAATGTGATGCCCTTAAACAAAACTGTTTTCAGATCTTTTAATAACGTCGACACGAGTGCAAGGCTGTGGATACAACGATCTCTCGGAAGGATGGAAAGAGCACTCGTGTTACACTGCCTTTGCTAAACAGGGTCTGAACAAGGATAACATTTAGCATTAATTCAGTTATTTATATTAAAAAAGCACACAATTAAATACATTTCATAGGGTGCTCTTTATGTGATTCAATGTCTGGATTCATGACCTAAAGCAAGGTACCCGACCACACCTACAACCGCTCCAAAACAAGCTCCAATGACTGATTTCAGTGGCATCACTAAGAGCTGTTAGTAAGGGACTGCGTGTGAGCTGGAGTCACCGTTCGGGTGTACAGGACCCCCCCCTCTCTGCCACCATAAATAAACCGATGCCACCGGGTGAAAAAGACAAAGTATAGAGTTAAGAGTATGACCAAATGACCATCAGATCTTTGAAGCTAAGCAGGTATGAGCCTGGATAGAGCTTGGTTGGAATGGATGACCACCATGCACACAAGGTTGTCATATGCAGCTACGAGGCAATGCTACCTAAAGGTTATCAGCAAAATGTGTTATACTATACTTCTATGCTCCCATATCTATGCTCATCACCATCACCAACAAGCACCGATCAGTGTGGTGATCGGTGGCAATATAACCCCCATGGCAATCGCAGGCTGAGGAGGCCATCATCCAGGCATGGATTGACAAAGGGGATGTTCAATAACATGAACATATCCTTAAGACCTCTCATTCTTCCATAGTACTGCCAAACCTTAATATTCCACATTATAATACAGTATATAATCGATTCTGAATTGCATGCGTTTTTTTACGTTTATTGCATAAAATACCCAAATTGTTTACCAAAAACACACACATATTTTCAATCTAATTCACCACTTCATCTAGAATTCTCTTCACACATATGCTAATTGCTGCAGGCACATTACATTGTCAAGTCTGCCACATTTGCAGATACTGGGTAATCTCTGCATACATTACATGATGATAAATGCATGTGCAAATTATTTCGAAAAAAAACTGTTATAAGGTACCCTACTCATAAGATGAAAAACACATGTGCATGCTAAATATTGGATGCCCCTGTGATATTCAGACACAGTCTGCTTTTGTACAATTTTAATTCAAGCAATTGGCTGCTGAAGTTGGTCTGTGCCTGCCATTCTTTAAATGCATGCATGCATTCATGATATATGCACTTTAAAGAAAATATAAAAACACATTATACGTAAACTAACTTCATGAGTTTAACGCAAAAGTATGATTTTTCAGGCCATCCACCTCATTCCATTAGTTACAGTTCTTACACTCGTCAACGTTATGCCAAATGTAGAGCCATGCCTGATACTTGACGCTTCTTCCTTCTACATGTGTATTCATGAATTGTAATTATTCACAGTATGAAGAGTTGAATAAAGAGCACAGTTATTATAACCTTATCACGGTTATCACATCTTCAATGTGCATTAATGCAGTATGCACGCTAATACCTGTCATGCCCTTCATGACTTTTTAATGAAAAGCTCTTAGGGAAATGTTCCATTATAAAGCACTGTACAAGGTAAGCGTGTGGCCGCTGGCAGTAAATGGGAACCTTGCCAATGTTACCTAAAGTCAATGGACCAACCATTGTACAATGGTGTGGGTTTACTTACCTATCCTAAGCTAAACGATGCTTAAAGGACAAAGTCTGAGATATGTTTGACCTTTGTTTAACCTGGGGCAAAAGGAATATACAAAGTGATAAATGAAGGGAAGAGCAATGCATCCTGGCAGATTCATCTTGCACGTGCCTGTGATGTGGTTTTTTTGTAAAAGCCAAAAAACATATTACATTTGTATGTTTTGAGGTTTAACTCAAACCCAGGGAATCTATTTCATTTCCTCTGGGATTGCAACCGTTGGGATTGCAGTCGAACCATTGCCTTGGAAAAGCAGATAATAAAGTGGTGCTTTGCAGTGCATGTTAAACCATCAACATCATATACTGTAAAAGGAAACACCAATGTAAAATATTACACAGCTAATGTGCTCAAAATTTGTCGTCCGTATAGCCTAGATTCCAACAAAAATAATATGTACATAGGACTTATTAAGTTGCTGAATAACAATTTCGTTACCAGTTCATTAGCATTTTAGGTGGGAAAGGAATATAAAATGAGCTCAGATTGCCTTTGACCCTTAACACCGATTTAACACGCCAAGTTCCATTAAGCCATGAAAATGTGCTTAATGCTGCTGTATGATGTTCAAGCCCAGACAATATTAATTACATTTTTATAATTATGGCGACTAAAGAAAAACAGTTGTCACTTTGGAATGGCGAAGCTTTCATTTAATATTCCTTCACAGTTTGAATGGTCTAATTTCTTAAGGAAAACATGAATAACCTTTCTGGCTTGTGGAACCAATATAAAAAAAAAGCCTTTGTCAGAACACAACGGGAAAATGCACTTTATCATCCTCGAAATATGTATTTCACAGAAACATATGGCATGGATGTAAAATTATGAAAACGATGCAGCCAATTCATATTTGCAACTCAATTTTCTTCATGGTGCTGTCACGAATCAACTACGCCACCTCTGCGTCAGAGTAATTATTTTACGTCCAACATCTTAAGAGCTCATTAAAATATTTCCCTGTCAGTGTGAACTGATTACACTCATCGTATTTTGTAACAAGATAGTCAATTCAAGATAGACATTTTTTTTGTGAAATCGTATTTTTTCAAAGGGTCACAAGAGGCCAGTTTATAAAAATAGGTAATCTCGCCTTTTTAAAAACCCCATAATCCTTGGTGGGTCATATTTTGAAGGTAATGATCTAGTTTTAGAATATATGGCTTACTTGTGGAATGTAAGTGGTGTTAGACCCAGTACTGAATATATCACAAAGTATTTTGAGCCTTTTTCCTTGCAAATATTTAAAAAAAAAATCTGAATTAGACCTATTTGCTTGTCACACTCTGCCCAAGTAAAAAGCCACTTCATGGCTATACAGTACCAGTACTTACCCACGTTTAAAGTGTCTGAAATGTACCTCTTAAATCGTTGACATTCCCAAGGACATTTCACAAACCTGCACGTCTATTCATTTATTATACTGTGCAGAAGTAGATCCAGCATTTTGCTTATCTCTTTAATACCCTAGAAATACAAAGTTGACGTAAATTTGCCAACAATTATCACCTAAAAGAAAGTTTCATACATTCACTCTGAAAAAAATATAAACTAAGGTTGTCTTAATCTGGCTCTCAGACCCACAACGTAACATTATTGACCCTTGTTTTCCAACTGCGTTTGTGGTTCCCCAAGTTTCAGCAAAAGCAGACAATACTGTCGTTTAGTAAAGTGCAGGACTATTGCACACAGTATAATATTTTGTTACGTGTTGTTCACAACAGAGTACTGCAGTTAGGTAACGAACATTTGCCTGCATGCACTGTTAACATAAATAGATTTACACCATCCCAAGACCGCGTTTACTCAGCAATGGATGCATTCTTCTCAGCAAATCAGCCTCGTAACACATTGCTCATAACGCCTAATTATCTCATAGAAATGTAGAATTTCATGGACCATCATTTTTCAGATCTTTTATCGCCTTTTCTCATATTTAGACCTTTGGTAAGCACAATCGTTGTCTTAAAACACATCTTTTTAGTCATTGAATAGTGGTTTTGCAAGTAAATACAACATGTTAAAGTTTTGTTTCTAGACTTTGCAGGTAGCAGAAGTTTGCGCACATTACATATAGACGAATTGCAATACGGTGCCACCCCCCTCCCCCCAGTTTCACAATGACCACATTACACTACTCACTCGCCACTACACACTTTACCTGTTCACACGGGTATACTTCCGTTACAGAGTAGAGCTGTGAAGTTATTACGTCCGTAGTAAAAAAGAAAACAACCCACACACAAATGCCACGCACACATATACATACACACGGCACACTGTATGCAGGCACACAAGCTGGCCCTGAATCACAGTGCAAACAGTAAAAGCGACACACAGCCCCCATTGACTTAACAGTGCAATTCACATGCAAATCACAGCAAACGCATGCACGTTCAGCACCACGGGTAGCAAACGGAAAGGTGACAGAAATCCCCTCCCCCGCTCAAGCATGCACACAATAAAAATGTCCAATTACCGTAAATATGAAGAAAGCATCATAATGAACGTGGATGGGGGGGGGGGGCAAGGGGGAGCTGTCAATATTGAGAATTATAATAATGAAATACAGACTGGAGTAACAAAATCCACAGAACCAAGAAAGGACCAAACAAAGTGGCCCACAAAAGGACGCAAATGGCAATGCAAAAAAACCCAAAAGAATAACATTAAAAAAAGGGCAGACAATTACCGGCATATTAAACAAGGCTGGCAGCGTGTAGGAGGAATTAGCGTAAGCCATTGCTTCCAGAGCCCGGTTGGCCATGGGCCCCATGTGGTGGTGAGGTCTACTTAGGGCCATGGGCCAGGCCATGTGCCACTGGCCAGACAGGGCCGGCCCTGGCGACCCCGACCTCCACTCCAACGTTGTAGCTGCTGCCGTTTCTGTAGCTGCTGCTGCTGCTGTTGTTGATATTTCTCCTGGATGCTGTTCCCGTCCGTCAACCCTGTCACGTCAGTCTATCTTGTCTGTTTGTGGCAGCGGTGGTGGCGGTGGTGGGTGCCGTGAAGTTTTACACGTACGGTCTTTTTGAAAGGTTCACCGCTATCACTATCAGCACCATCGTCGCCACCAGAGCAGCAGCAGCATCACACGTGGGTGAATGGGGAGGGATGGGGGAGGAGGGTGATGAACGAGCAAGGGAGGTCGCGCGTTTTGCAAAACGGCAAAAGCTTCGACTTTGCGAAACTCCAAAATGAAACAGGGGGTGGGGTTGAAGAGGGAACACTTTAGAGCAGAGGATAACAACACCCAGCGTGTACGGACAAATGCATATACCGATAAGCACCGAGCAAACACAACGCTGGGAATATTCACGGGTACAACAAAAGTGCCCTTCCACCCGTTGCGAGATGTCACGATGCCAATGTTAAGCGCTGCACCGCGTGCGCGGCTCCCAATGAACGCACATCCATCACATCATCATCACCACACATTGCATCGCCCATACACGACCACGCAGCAGCAGCAGCAGCGCTTTAAATGCAACACAGAGCAGCGACGGAATTACAAGAACAAAAATGAAGATAATGGATGGGAAAATACACACTCACCTCGGGGTTTTTTTTTGGTAAAAACGGGGTTTTGTGGGTTTTTTTAAAGGTAGGTTTTAGGAAGGAGGTTGATGCACGGGGGAGTGAAGACAAAAAGGAAGAGGGGGGTGGTGGTGGGTTCTGGCTGGGGATGACTGCGCAAGGACAAGGTTTCTCGGGGAGCCAAGGAGCAGCAGGAGGAGGAGGAGGAGCAGCGGGTTGGGAAGGTGCTGTCTAGTTTAGACCCTGAGCGCAATTCTCACGAGCAAAAAAAAAAACCACCCCACTCTCTATATATAATATAGCCTGGCCGATTTGTTTTCTGGACAAAACTCACAACCACCAAGCCCAGCCAAAACGCGAGCGCTGCCCTGCCAACAACAACAAACACGCGACTCGCAATGAATGCGCGCCGCCCGCTACTCAGCGTTGCCTCGGGTGTGCGTGCGGGTGCAACGGGGAGCGAGCCACACATGGCGAAAACGCGATTTTTTTTTACTTCTCTCGCCGCCCCCCCCCTCCCCCTCTTTGAATTTTGTCCCTAAGTGGCGCGCCGTAGTAAATGGGAGGGGCGTCGTTCCTTCGCTCCCATTGGTTTGTTACGCAGTTGCCCCGGGCGACGGGTCCCCCGTCCACTCGATGGCGCCACGCCCCCTTCTCGATGTCTACGCCCCCCTCCTCTCCTCCTCCTCCCCCCCCCACAAAACAAAGACAAAGATCCCTCCCCCCTATAGCCCACACAGACTATTGGGGCAAGTGCTGACAGCGAGTTAGTTCGAGGTGGTGGTGGCCAACAAACCACGCCCGGCCGCCTTTGTCTCCCCACAACAGCGGCGATGTTTTTTTTATTACACCGCACCAGAGACTCATTTTAGGCTGAGTCGACCTAGGTGGGGTTGAGGAGGAGGAGGAACCGGTTCAGATAATCGCCATCACCGGTGTTGGTGACCGTGAGCAGCGCATCGAACTCGCGTCTTCGGGTTCGTAGCGCAGCGCGCTAACCGCTGCACCACCACTCCCCCCCCCCCCACTGACCCCCCCCACTACTCCCCGCCTCCTCCCCCCTGCCTCTGACCTTTGCACTCGCGGTCCGCACGCGTGACAAGTCGGTCACATCGCACTCCGTCGCTTGTCACCTCTGAAAGCTGCGTGCAGCAGCCTCATTCAATGTTTTTTGTTTTGTTTTACCCTCATCGCATCGCGTCTCTCTCTCTCCTGAAGATGTCCACGCGTGGTGTCAACGCGAGTAGCAGCAGCAGCAGGAGCAGGAGGCCGCCGGGTGTACGCGATGCTGATTGTTGATGTGGAAACTGACCCACAACTTGTGCATTGCAGAGTGCCGTAGCTGAGCCAAAGTGCGCGCCTGACCGATTCCACGTCAGCTCCAGCTTGCCCGGTAATCTATGGGGGGTACGGTATTCGTCAAAGCCGTATTGTCATTATATCATTGAAAGGGGTACATTTGCTGGAAAATACAGTTGTGGAGCCCGAATATCCTGTGACGATATCGCCCGCATGATCGGTATTTGGAAGCATAACGTGAGTTTACTGCAGGAAATTCTCACCGAGTCTTTTTTTTTCCCACGAGGGTTCTGCCAAGCGTTAAGCAGTGCGTCGTGGGTTCATTCTAACCGCGTGAATGATCAGGGCGGCCGCTGGAATCGAACCGTGAACCACTGTGGAAATCACTTCGGCTAGGCTATTCCTGTATGCCGCGTTTATCAAGGGCTTCCCAGCTCAAAGACCGAGGCTTTGTTAATGACAAAACAATACGTTAAAGGCATAGTGACGAGCACTCCAGTGATATCACTTGAGCGTTTCTACGGCACTCTTTAACGTTACCTGCAGGACGATATGAGCGTCTCCTGCCTGTGATGTTAAAGTCTCATTAACGTGACTTTGAACTCGCGTCTAACAGCCGCGTGTCGGCAAGAGCTATTTGCCCTTTGGGTTGCCTCTTTAACGCAAACTATACACGTGGCTAACACTCACAAGTGCAGAACATTTGAAACTATTTCGAAGTGCTCTGAAGCTACCACGTTTTTTAAAGCATCCTCTTCGAAGAGACACATGATTAAATAAGTGACGGCGAATACATTTGGAGTATGAAACGAATGGATTGGACATCTGATGGGTACGTTGGTGCTGTGTTGTGATGTGACAACCGCGATGTTAATGACTACTCCAAAATTACTCATTGACAGGTCACACTCCTCCTGCAGCAGGCCTGAGGGCGTTTCAGGAATGGACAGTGGCGTGCAAAGCCCTGCTGGAGAATTCTTGGACCTATCCAAGTTTCTGGACAGTGCCAAAGGGTGGTATGGCTATGATGGCCAAATAGAAGCAATAGTGGAGAAGGATTTTAAGAGACTCAAAGGTACTTATTCTGCCAGTGGTTATAGGGTAACTGCATTGTATTCCCATGCATTTACCCAGGGGGATTGTTTTTTTTTTACTGGCATACAATTATGGACAAATGAATTGAGACCTTTGATCATTAAAGAACGTTCACCCACAACAGAGTTTTCCGTTGTTCTGTTCTACGCATTGCATTGACAGTCTCAATAGGCTCTCATCTAATTGAAATAAAGGTTGCCTACTCACTTAATATGGCCATGGGGACTGTATGGCAGTCTATAATGACAATATTAATATTATTTATAGTTAAAATATACTACTACCCTACTCGCCTCAAAGAATGCAACTGTGCTTATCCATCTTTTTCTGTGGCCAGTTATGGAAATTCTACATTTCCATAGTTGGGCACAGTCACTACATAGTACAATTATTATTGTCGTCCAAATTCGATGATAGGCGGAAATGAGTCAGGAATCGGATTTCATTTGACAACTCTTTGATTGAGTACTGTATAATGCTCTTAACCATAGCACCGATTTATATATGAATTAGTGGGCTTTTTAAATTATGTATCTTGTAAAAATGTCCATGATTGTCACCATATCTTTATACCAAGACATATATTTTTTACATTGACAATGTTATCTTTGGAACTCTTGATGTTATGCAACTGGGCAGCAGGGCATTGTAATATTTGAGATGTTTATCAGCATAGCTTGATGGACAATAATTAACATTTGTTCATTCTGTGTTCATACTAAAGTTTATTCGTACAGTGGTTGAGTGTTTCCTTTTGTTTTATGTGGTTCATTCAATTATTTGTGTATATTTTGCTTTAAAAGATTCAAATCCACAATTTATTTTCTAAAGATAAATCATGTCATTGTGTACCTATGCACTAACCAGGTCAGTACGGAGAGAAGATTAATTCACTCTGTGTCACTGGTATTGTCACTCTCTACATTAAATCATAAATATCCTGACAGCTGCACAAATAATGTGTGGCACCACAGACCTGGGTAATTGTCAGATATGTGTCACATTGGGTCATGAAGGATATTTACAAGGTCCTGACAACTTCACCTCAATACCGATATGATTCAGAATGATGGTTCCATTTGGAATCACTAATAAAAATGCACATTTCAGCATATGTGCATTTAAAGGGCTTCTAAACTCAGGAGCAAGAACACTCGTACAATTGCACACCCTCTGCTGATATCCATGCTGTGTCATGTCTTTTGGAAGCTCCGTGGCTCATGCTGTGTTGCACTAATCCACTGTTTCACAGCCTTTTGCTGGTTTTAGCAAAAATCCTCCCATCACAGCTCCCAGAAGTCATGCAGCCATGATCGTACCACAATTATAGCTGGCTCGCTGCTACAGTATTGACAGAATCTGCCTTTTTGTTTCTTGGCAGCAGTGGCAAATCCATTGAAGGTGGGGGGGGGAGGCAAAATTCCCATCTTGAGACACCAACATTTTTTATTGTATTGCTATTCAGAGAAAATATTTTTTTTTTGGTGTAAGGCCCTGTATAAAAGGCTTAAAATTCTTGGACCGACCCCCCTCCCACCCACCTTGGGAAGTTTTTTTTATCCACTTCTGCTTGGTGGTGGTGCTTCTTGATCAAAGTTATAATCAAATGTCCAAATGTTGTTTTTGGTTCCATCGCAAACCAATTGCATTTGCTTTTAGTCTAAACTGTACTAAAACTTTGTAGTATTATTACAAACCTTGTGTGAACCACAACAGCTTATTGAGGCCTTCTTCTGCTCCTAAAAAATATATAAAATACTTATAGGCTATTTCAGAAATTTTTTTTAATCTTACAATTCTCAAAGTGTTAATGATATATAAAAGAACACAAGGGATTACATGTTTTTAAGTAAATATAATCACCAAGTTGCTCAAATATCTCCCATCCATAACTTCCAATATAAACATTGGAATTTTAACAAGCGACTTAGAAAATACCTTTAATTCTACTACATTATATTGCTGCTACAGACACAGCAGTCCAAGTAATGATTCAATACCTGCAGTCGTATCATGACATGTGACCGCTCATTTACAAAGGTATGATTATTTGACTGCGCGGTATTATTACAGAGTGGGGTGGACAAGCATAGCCCTGATCAACTAGCATCTATATCTCAAATGTCTGCCAGACTCGTTTGTCAATGCATACCGCTGTGTTATTACTTTTTTATGGAATTATTTTCCACTTGTGTCATTAAATACCGTTGGGTAGTCCGTTGACATTTAATGGCAATAATTTTGTAGGAGATTTCTGCCAAATAGAGTATTTTCATTCAAGAGTAATTTCTTCTTTCCCAAAAGAACATGCATGCCCATTATATGACTTTCAAAAGGGGCTTGCATAGTTTGCAATGCTCTTGTGAATTATTGAGTGGATAAGCAATATGGTGACTGATTAGTTGAGTCCGATAAATTATTGGATGAAATATTGCTTTCATAAATTCTACCCTGTTCACATAAACTATATAACATAAGCTTCCAAATCACAACCATTTAAATTGGTGGAGCAGTCTGTAGATAACTGCTCTTCACATCTCACTCTAGGTATTGCATTCATATCATCAACGTTAAGTGATGAACATAATACTCATACACCTTTAG